GAGATTCTTCCTAACCTAAAGCATCAAAGACTAGCTGCCAGGCAATTCGGAAGCAGATTAAGGCGGCGAAACAATTACCTTAACCATCAATATTCTATGGAGTGAGCTGATGTTAGGGGACCTATACAGTGAGGGCTCAAGGAGGTTAATTCAATGGGCAGTGGGAGAAGGGAAATGATGTCCTCAAAGGGAAATTTTGTCTGTATATCTGGAAGGATGTTTGAAAGAGTAACAGAAAGTTTGGCATTAGGCCAATAGCGCCACTGCGAAAATTTCTTGAAGCGCAGTTTGTCATTAGTCTTCTTTCACTAATATGCTTAAAGTCTCATTTAGCAACATTAAAGCTACTGCTTCTACTCATGATGAATAATAGACAATTACTATTCTTCTTGTCTAGAAGCAGTACAATAAACTGAAAGGATATCATCTGTGTAGTAGCATTGGCTATCAGTTCTGCGGGAAAATCTGACTTTATGAGGAAAAATTAAATCCAAATAAAAAGTGACCCTTAAGATTGCAATTTCGCTTCTAGTACAGCTGACATTGTCTTTCTTTTGTTTCTTTCCCCGCCCCCATTTCCTCTCTATGCTGTGAGGATAGGGTCTTGACAATGCTATTAAGGAGTTGAATGAGAAAACTGTACAAGGGCCAATGGGAGGTCCCTCATGCAAGCTTCAGGTGATTTTTATCCTTTCTAGTTTTCATAAGTTGTCCAAGCTGATATCTTCAGCAATAGTTTACAGATATGTAATTATGATTGGTGATTAATTATGATTTGCTAACAGGTCGAAGTTGCTAGGCCAATGGACAAGAACAGGAAACGAGGTCGTGAGGATCCAAACATATCCAGTACCATTGAGAGTCATTCCAAGCTTTTGAAGGATGATCCAAATGTTGAGATGATTAGGGCTCCTAAATCAACTGCTCAACTGGTGATGCAAATGAGATGTTAATTTTTTTTTAAAATTCCAACGATCTTCTCCTTTAAAATATTTAAAATGCTGGCTTTTCAATCTTGCAAATGTTTGCCGGTAAAATTTCCTTGAAACTAAAGTAAAAGCAGTTCTGATAGGAATATCCTGCGCTTGGGCAAAGCTTATTTGCCAAATTGATGCTTCTATGTTTGTAGTATGCCATCATTTCTTCTTTTCAAATATGCAAGAGACAACGACTACAATTATGTCTCAATCTCAAGCTAGTTGGGGCCGGCATATGAATTTACACTACCATTGCACTCTATTTGAACCCATTTCATTGGATATTCTATAACGTGGAGTTCCATGGTACTAGAGGTTCTCTAAATCTGCATGGATTCATGCGATTGTAGGTCTTTGAGATAACTTCATTCTATGTGATTTTAGGTCTACCTCGTTTCTTTTCATTTGGAGGTCTATGTAGGACATGACCAAATTGTCTTAAGAGACCTCTCATTTTATTCTCTATGTGTGCTACTTGAACCTTATGTCGTATGTGGTCATTCCTGATTTTCTCTAATCTTGTATGGTGGCACATCTAGCTTAACATTAGAATATCTGCAACACTTATATTGTGGAATGGATATGGGACCTTAGAGGACCCAAGTTCACTCCCATATAACAATGCTGGTCTAATAACCGTTTTATAAAACTTGCCTTTTGCTCTTGTGGATATCCTCCTAGCACCTAATATTCTGGTAGCTCTCCTCCACTTCAACCATGGAGGTTTGGTAGGATGGGGTTTACCATATCAAGATAATATAATAGGAGTAATAATACTGTATTCGGTCTTATGAGCATAAATGCTTGAAGCAAGTCTATATGTTAAGTTATTGTGAGCTACATGATTGAACTGTTAAGCTCATTTTGATTAGAATGGTTGATATTTGTCGTACAACTCCAAATCTGTCTTCTTATGGTTTGATTATATTTCTTCAATCAGGAGATGGATTATTCGGATCCTTATGAAGCTGCTGTAGTTGCATTACCTGTGGTTGTCAAGGAGCGTTTAGTTCGGATCTTGCGGCTTGGTATCGCTACTAGATATGATGTAAGTTAATGGACGGACACTACTATCCGAAGTAGTAATTCTGTTTGTGTATTAAGTCTTCCTACTTTGTCAAGAAGGTTTTCATGTCAATTCTGCCCAAGTAGTGTTCTTTTTAATTCTGTTATCATCAACAGCAAAATATGCAAATTTCTTCTTTTCCCGTGAGTATGTATTAACAAAGAAAGACATGTTCGGTGTTGATTGCATTATGTAGTTTGTTTGTATTGGTTTCTAGTGTTTGTTTATTGAACTGCCAAACAAGCTGATATAAAATTTGAGATCCTCTTTCTTGCCTCTTCCTTTATATGGATTCTTGAGGAGTGGTGTTGGCTCCTTCCAAAAGCAAACTCACGATGCACAACCTAGAAGTGGTGAGTAGTGGCAAGATATAAATTCTTTGTTTTCTGTCATGTGGTATCTATAGTTGTCAATTCTTTTTTACTAATGTAAATGTCTAATATTAGTGTACTTATCCATGGAATCTTTCCATGTTTTTGATGGTGCCTATTAATTCTTTGTTCTAATGTAAATGTCTAATACTAGTGTAGTTATCCATGGAATTTTCCATGTTTTTGATGAAATATTCTGTATTTTTGTCTGTATTAGTTCATTGTTGTAGCGGGCGAGTTGTGTAGTAATTACGGTATGGAGGATTTTGTTCTTATTTCTTAGAATCCGGGATGGGCCATTTTATCTCTGCAGGAAGGTGGGGAAAATGAGACATAATGTAAATTATACAAATACATGATTTACGTATATGCTTGTGTGGTCAAACAACTAGAGTTTTTACCTGGTTCGCACGTCGCATTATGAAATCTGCACGACATATTATTTTGCAACATAAGCTTTTCACCTGCTTTATGCAACGTCTGTTACCTCATAATAGTTGCTGAAGGACTACCGATTTATGATGTTGATTGTTGTGTATTACCTAGAACCAGCTAAAGGTTTTGAATGCGTTTTTATTTTCAGATAGATGTTGAAAGTTTAACCAGTCTTAAGATGTTGCCCGAGTCAACTGCCATATCTATTCTTGACCAGGTCTGAAATATTTATACCTTTTGTGAATCTTTCTAGTGAGAATTTCAGTATATTCAAAAACAATTAAAGATCGATCCTCATGCTTCTATTTTCCAATGCCTTTTATGTATAGTTCATGTTGTCTGGAGCTGATATGCAGAACAAGGGAGGATATTTAGCTTCGTTAATTTCTAAGGTATGTTCTGTGGAGAGCAGATAAGCATCAAAATTTTTATCTTTGTTAGTATACTCTTTTGCGCTCATTATCAAACAAATTCTTTTCTGGATATAGCAGCAGGTTGAAAAACTGGGACTGAAACAATTCGATAGTAGGTCAAGGATAGAAGATGTTGGCTTGAGGGTGCCAGAACCAGACAGGTTCTCTACAAGAGTTCGTTTGCCAGATCTAGATTCATATGCCTCACGAGTACCCTTGCCCATGCCTAGGTTAGCTTGCATTTCAATGCTAGATCATTAGAACTATGCCACATGTCTGNTGCATGTCTGGTGCTAAGAACAGAATGATGTTGAGCAAGTAAAAATAGTCTTGGAGTGATAATTTGTTTTGCTGGCTCTTTAGCGAAGCCTATTATTGAAGGTTGGAAACTATTGAGGTAAAAGGATCACCTTGCTGCTGGTTTCTTGCAGGGCTGATGTTTACACATCTCGCTATTCATCGTATTTAGATCCCCATCTGTCTGGTCGGATGACAACAAAGAGAATGGAGGAAGCAAGTTCCCATTTGCAGGCGACTTCACTTCTGTCTAATCGGGTGACAACGAGGATGGAGGAAGCAGGTTCCACTTTGCAGTCGCTCCTATCTGGTGGGGTGATGACAAGAAGGATGGAGGAAGCAAGTCCTATTTTGCAGGCAACACTCCTTCCATCTGGTCGGGTATCAAGGATGGATGAAGCAAGTCCCAATTTGCAGGCAACATGGAGCCCTTCTCCTACTAATGACAGAATTGGACTTCATTCACACATTACCGCAACTGCTGATCATCAACATACTCGACCACGGATCAGGTTTGATCCCTTCACTGGCGAGCCATACAAATTTGACCCCTTCACTGGTGAGCCAATTGTTCGCGAGAGCTCAAGTCATCATCGAAGCATGTACTGAACGTTCTGAGCATTCTAATTTACAAATGGCTTATTGCCAAACCTATGTAACATAGTGATGCGTATTTTTGTTCATCCGCAGCTGTAAAATAGTAGCTGTTAGTAGGATTATTTGGTTATGTTTCTCATTGACTTCATTGATTACCATGGTGCTATTAGAAATTTTGGCAATTTACAATTTTTCTCCAATGGAAGTGTGTACTATGATCATTGACATTATTATGGCTTAGTAGAAACAACGAGTAAGGGTTGTGAAAGGTGAAATTCCGTAGTGCTCGCTAAGGGGAGAAATAGATATTCTAGATAAGAACTACACATTGTTTTCAGAAGATATCAGTGTTTGTTAACTATCACATCAAAGTTATCCCCCTTTTTTCTATTCTTGTACTCTGCAACTAGGGATCAGGCGTTGAATCATTTCAACTTGTTATTCCTTCTCTATTTTGCAGTGCTAACTTCCGGACATCCTAACCATTCAACTTGGTGGGTTTCTTCTCAAATCCTGGAGTGCAAAGTAAGCAATGAACTAAAGCGCGCATATGATTTTTCGATAACCCAACATAAAGCTTCTATTCTTCAACTTCTTCACGCAAAAAGAAAATCCCCATTCTCCCAGCTGGAGGTTTATTTAACCAAAATATTTTAGATCTTTGGTAAAAAGTCTTTGGTTTCAAAAAACTCATTGCTTTGTAGTTGCTTGTTCCGGTATGAATAGAAGTAAGATAATGTATGCTTTTCTTTTTCATTCGGTGCATATACAGTAAGACAAATTAGTTATTGTCACTACATAGCTCTTCTATGTATACCTATTCAAGGTTTTGAAGGAATTTTCTTTTTACCTGACTGTACCCTTCCTTTAAAAGCCGTCGCACTGCCAAACTTCATGGTATGAAGGAAAAACAGTAGTCTTAAACAACTCTTTCTTCCGTGTACAAATAGTTTGCCATATCTGAGTCAGTCCCCACCAACATACCATTGCTCTTTTCCGCCATATTGTAGACTAATGAACAAACTTGAATCAATTGTTCAGTAATTAGCCAAACTTACAGTAGAATTTACAGCAGACGGTCTTGGCGGGGGGAAGACATACCAGCTGGCGCACAAAACTATAAATAGTGGCCAGTGGATCAGACACAATTAACAATTTAACATCTAAAGGATATATTTCCTTGGCATGTGGTGCTAATCGGTTTTATACAACCGCAAAGGGGCAAAGCACATTCAAGCATATTACCAATTGCGAAAGCATAACAGATTCTGATACTCCGTATGATGCCACTTAATTCAAAAGCAAGAACTAGTCATACATTTAAAAGATCTTCATCAGCGAAGAGAGAAAAAGATGAACAGGTTTTGCTGCAGAAGTCATAGACAACCAATACATGAAATGATACTAGAGTATCTTATTCTGAATTCTTCCTGCGATAAAACTATAAACTGTACTTCCAGAAAAAAATAACTTTAAATTGGACTTGGCATAGTGCACAACTTAAATGGTAGTCCACTCTAGCAGCATAACTATGTACAAGTTTTTAGCCAAAGTGGACATACTCCAACTACGTGACTGGCCACCTGATATAGATCTAAAGGCCACTGAGCTTACTTCCAGTCCAACATGTCTAGAAGCCACAGGACTTCGTCTTCAGAATTGGCAGCATCACAGAAATCCATCTCAATCCCAAAAACATCTAGTGCCCCCTCATTATTATGGTCCATGAAAAGCAAAGATATCCATGCCCGAACACCCGATACAAACAAGCAAATAGGAGAGGAGAAGTCAAGATAATCAAAAGCTAAAGCCCGATATGCTGTTCGATCAATATAATCAAAAAGGGATTTCTTTATAATGCATGCAACTTTATTGGTATCTTTGCGTCCTACAAGCACAGAGACACTGACCGTCTGGCACAAAGGAATCGTAAATCTTGGTTCCACAGGTAGAGTCATCTTGTATTCAGGCCCTTCCAAGTGGAACCTAAGCACATCGCAGATTCCAGGAGGCGGGATCCAAATTCCCTTCTGAAGAACAGGCCCTGGTACCACATCTGAAAATATTAGTTTCTCTTCAGTCCAAATGTCAATGTAGAACTCCAAGTCATTGAAGGAAAGTCTCGGAGGGAGAACAGTCCTGCGGTACTGCCGTTTATGAAAGTTTTGAAACAGTTTATAGTAGGTTACAGTAGGAGGAGATGTCCGTTTGCAAATTGATGGCCACTTTTTAGAACAGAGACATTTCCAGAAGTAATCATCTCGTGCAATATCTCGCCACTGTTTGCACACTATCATACATGTAGCCAGGTCAGTACCCTCCAGAAACGGGAAAACAGCCTTCAGAATTTCTTCACATGCCATTTTGTGAGCAACAAAAGATCAGCTAGGCAGAGAAACTCTGCTCTTTAGCTCTTTATACCGTTTAATACAAAGGTGTACACAACAAGAAAACCAGCTGGGGAGAAAATCTGCTTTTTGCTCTTTATAAACTTTATGGTAATCCAAGGAATTGGCTCTCAGGCATCCCAGTTGATGCAAGCAAACTGCATTTCAGAGAAAGGATAATCCTTCACCTAGGTAATAGACTTGCAGAAGCATGGAGTTATCTGCATGCAGAGTTTTGAGTTAAAGAAACCGACTTCCTTATGCAACAATCAAGATTAAATAAATGAAGATACCCTAATATCTATGTATATATTCAGACTAAATCATGCTTAGATGACTTGATATCGTGAATAAGGAGAAGATAATAAAAGTATGGATAAAGCTATAAGGAAATGTTTAGAATCAGAACAGATGAGGTCACTACTACACACAAACATCTCAAACACTTCAGGATTACTGGGGTTCCATTTTACAATGACCAAACATCTAAAACTATTCAAGATTACGGGGTTCCCACTTAATAAATATTTTGAATGAGTAAATAGGAAAAAATACCCAAAACTCGCAATTATATTTCCTCCTATAATGAGATATGCTTGGAAATAAAAGAGACTAGAGGCAAGGATAAATATGCTCTCGGTTAGATGGAAGGAGGGACAAATACATGTACAAGCTACAGCCTTTGCAGTTTGCTTATTGATCTGTACAAAAACATGAAGTCATATAAAGATCATAAACCAGCTTGTACAAGTTTTAAACAAAAAACAGTAAGGTTTTAATCTATATCCAACTAGCTGTCAGCTTTATGGAAACAACAAGGAGATGGGGTGCTGCTTAGAGATCATTATCAGCCAGTGGCGAAGCCAGAAATTTTAACGAGGGATTCCAAAAAATGCAAACTTGCACAGTGAGTGATACACCAAACTATCAAGGGTATTCAACAATTTTCAATACACTTAGCTCCGGCACTGCTATCAGTGACACAGATCGATATCCTAGAAATACTTGAATAGAAAAGGATGCCCCTTTTTGTAAAAAACGGATTTTAAGAAAATACCCAAAAAGGAAACGTCCTAGCAAGCGGTAAAAGGAAAAGGACAAAGCATTCGAATCCAGAAACGTGTAAAACAAAGTAACTCCAACAACCCACCCCAAAAAATGTTCAATTTTTCGCATTTTTAAGGCTGGAACAAACGAACAAAAAGAGGAAAAACAAAACCAATGAAAAAAAATATAAAATAGAAAAGCAGAAACCCTAAATTAAAAAATACGACAAGAACAATAACTACTATGCCTCAATTCCAAACTCCTCAGTCCGTTGTATAAATCCTATCCTCTTTATTCGGCACCTGAATCCTTAATTCGAATATAGCCCTAAATTAAAAATATTTGCTTTTTCTGATCTATAATAAATGGGATAATGATCATGAGAAATGAACGTGCTAAATCAAACAATTGAAATTGAGAAGCTAAAATTATCAAATTATTACCTCTTAAACAAAGCAGATTAAGGAGAGAGTACACTCCACGGTAATCGTCGCAGCAATCGAAAGAGGAAAATGATTAGCAGACTTTGATTTTTTTAATAGAGAGAGAGAGAGAGAGAAGAGAGAAAGAGAGAGAGGAGAGAGAAACAGAGACTGCTAATAGATTTGTTTGGATGTGTCGACAAGAAAAACACCGTGTACCGTTTGGATAGGCTCTGTGGTCCCATCCCTTTTAGATTGTAGCAATCCAACTGTGCTGGACAATGCAACATTCTAATACAGTATGCTGCTGATGCATAGGATCATATCCAGCTTCTACCGTACTTGATCTAATGACGTCCAACGACGCCGTTTCTCTACGTCCTGCTTTTAACCCCTATTCCTTCCGTTTTAACTTAGACAATTTCTTTATTACTCCGCTCCAAAAACAATGACACATTTTTTATTTGTAAATAATTTAACTTTACTTTTTATTTTATCTATTTAATCTTAATGAGAAGTTTTTATAGTTATATAAATATCATGGCCTCACAAAACTTTTGTCCTTAAACTTTTAGGACCACATATTTCAAAAGTATTCTTTTTTTCTTTTTTAAACTTGTGTTAAGTCAAATTACATTATCTAAATTGAAATGGATAGAGTATTATTAAAAGTGCTTAATGTGGCAGAATGGTCTAAATGGCACATGTATTTGTGCCACTTTGTCATGCCGGTCCCCAAACTTAAAAGTTTGTCAATTGAACACTTACACTCATTCAAACCGTAAATAATAAACGCTTATGACAGGAGGCTGCCAGTGCGTGTAATACAAACGCCTACACGTTGGACGCCACGTTAATAAAATTAGACCACGTAGGCTCCAAGTCACTTATTATGGCCACATAGAAAAATAAAACGGGAAAGGATTATTTACCCCTCCCCCCCNGGCTTTTGCTCTGTTTATGATTTTTAGGGGAAGGCTGGGTTAGGTCATAATCGTTGTTTAATTTTCCTTAATATATGGGGCTTTTGCTGTGTTTCGTTACATGTTGGAGTGAAAACCCTTTTTAATGTAGTGTAATGCATGTAATGACATATTTAGTTATTCCGTTTAGTTTTGGTTTTTTTTTTGTCAAAGCAGAATTTCATCTTAGGTTTATGCATTTTTTTGTGAAGTTTGTTGGGTCTCCTTCTTGTTAGTGGTCCACTATAGTATTTTTGAATATTATAGGATATTGTGGGGACGAAAAAGGAATCTTGGAAGCTTTTTTACTTAAAAATCTGTCTTTTTTGTTGGTTTGTTTATGGAGTTGTGTAAAGGTGTAACTTTTGATAACAAATAGTCATTGATAACACTGTTTTTTTTTTGTTACTTTGCAGGTATGAGAAGAAAATAGCTTCAAGCCTTGTTAACCTATAAATCCACCACAATGATAATTTTGTATCGGACCCTGACCTAAGGTATGCAAATGGACTACTTTGTCCTCAATTAGCTACAGTTGATGTGGATGAGCTGCATATTATGTTGTTTTACAAGTTTGCTATGGAATTAGGATTTTTAGAAGTTGATTTGTTTGGATGCAAAGTTAACAAAAAGGGTGGTTATTACATCTTAAAAACAGATGTTGATGTGTTAAAGTTTCTTAATACATTGAAAGGTGGTGACTTTGTTGATGTTTGTATTGTCCATAAAATTAGTGATCCTATTCTTGTTGAGGACATTACTAAACTAGACCCCACTATACAAACACATGGGCATGACAGTGGGTTAAATGCTAGGGCTGATGTGTTACCTCCCAACAATGATATAAATAGGACTGAAAATGACAAAGATAAGGGTAAAGGGACAAATATAAATGGAGAGATAGAAGAATCAGATGAAGGTGAATGTAATAACTTCTCATTCTATCACCTTTAAACATCAGAATCTGATTTTGATGAGGACTTTGATAATTTTGAAGGGTCTGACTTGTTGTTTGAGATAAATGAGAACATTGAAGAGTGTAGTGATTTGGAAGATGACTTAGCTGAAATTAGACAGTCTAAAATCAACAAAAAGAAGGATGCCCAAGTAAATATAGATGAGATACCATATGGTCCAGTTGGTATAGATTCTGGTTTTGAAGATATGTATAAGAACAAAAGGGAAAAATATGAAGGGAAACTAGGAGGAGATGGCCAGTATTTTGATAGCTCAGATCCAGGTAGTGAGTGTAGTGATGATGAAAGAGAACTTGTTGGCACTAATGAAGTAAGGGATGCACCATCTAGGAATCCAAGTAGAAAGGTCTACTTTGATACAAATTGCAAAAAAATATTATTTAAACTATATATGATATTTGAGAATGTTGTACAGTTTAGGGAGACATTGCAGACCTATTCTATTAAAAAAGGTATGAACCTTAAGTTGAAACCTAATGAGAGGGAAAGGGTTAGGGCAAACTGCACAAAGAAAGGTTGTCCATGACATATCCTTGGCAGCATAGAAGGTAGCACCAGGAATTTTAGGGTGATTACATACTACCCTGTCCACAAATGCTTCAAGAAGACAAGGAACAAGATGTGTAACCCACCATGGATTCCAAAGAACTTCAAAGACAGAATAACTAATGAGCCTCAAATTAAGCTTCATCAAATTCAAGCCTTAATTAGGAAAACATATGGTCTGTATGTGAGTAAAACTTTCTGGAGAAGAGCAAAAATGATAGTTATGAAGGAGAATATGGGTGATTACAAGAAAGAATTTGCTATGCTTCATGATTATGCCGAAAAGCTAAAGTCTACTAATCCTGGAACTACTGTAGTGATAAGGATATCTAAAAATGCAGAACCTGGCAAGGAGGTGTTTATGGGCATTTATGTCTATCTTGAAGCATTAAAAACTGGATGGTTAGAAGGGTGCAGAAACATAATTGGCTTTGATGGTGCATTACTAAAGGGAACATGTAAAGGTGAACTGATTTTCTACATTTCCAATGATGAAAATAATCAAATGTACCTTGTGGCTTAGGCAGTAGTTGAAAAGGAATCAAAGGATACATGGTCTTGGTTTATCAGATGTCTTAAGCATGATCTAAACTTGACAGAATCTGAAGGAGAAGGGCTGACAGTCATGTCTGATATGCAGAAGGTATAGTTTCTAACACTTTGTCTTTAAAGTGTAATTGTTTTCATTTATGTTAAAGTTATAACAATATAATGTTGTTGATTGTAGGGTCTTCATCTAGCCATAACTCAGTTATTTCCAAATGCTGAGATGAGGTAGTGTGCTAGACATATCTGGGCTAATTGGAAGCAAACTTGGCCTGGTGAGGAAAGAAGGAAAAAATTTTGGCAATGTGCAAGAGCTATATTTGAAGTTTACTTTAGCAAGAACTTAGATGAAATGGACCAGCTGAGGGGAGATATTGTTCAAGACTTACTAAAATACAACAAGGAGACATGGTGTAGGGCATACTTCAAAGAATATAGTAAGTGTGATATAGTAGAGAACAACATGTGTGAGACATTCAATAGTTGGATATTGGTAGCTAGGCACAAATCTATCATTACTATGTTAGAGAAAATTAAAATCAAGTGTATGGAGAGGATGAATAGCATGAGAGAGTTTTCTGGAAAATGGGTAGGTGATATATCTCCCATGGCTATGGAAATACTTGGAGAGAATGCTCAAAGGGCAGTCAAATGTGAAGTCAAATTTAATAGTGAAACAGGGTATGAGATCTAGGATGGACCATATAAACATGTTGTTGACTTTAGGAGGTATTCCTATACTTGTAGATCATGGTAACTTAAAGGAATTCCATGTGCACATACAATTACAACAATGCATTATAAGAACTATGAGGTTGAGCCATATGTTGACCATTGGTATAGGAAGGATACCTACCTTAAGGCATACAACAGATTCATTCAACCTTTAACTAATATGAATTTGTGGCCAAAAAGCACACTGCTAGCTATTGAACCACCTGTTATAACCGCAATGCTAGGAAGGCCAAAGAAAAAAAAAGAATAAAAGTTGTTGATAAACCAAAGAAGAAGTTTGGGAAGGATACAAGGATAAGGAGACAAATGAGATGTTCTTTGTGCGAGACTCTTGGACATAACAAGAAAGGATGTCCATCAGCAGTAAGTATTAATGTTCTTTGTGGTCATTATCAGGTGAATTCAATTACTAGTGTTTGTTTTGTTATGTGTATGCAGAGAAACCAAGGGGGAAGGGCTGGAACTAGTTCAGTTGGAGGTGAAACTGCTGAAAATGCTTCATCAACAACATCAGGTGGAAGGGCTGGAACTAGTGGAAATGCATCAGCAGCAACAACTGAAAATGCATCAGTAGCAGCAACTGGATCAGCAACAGCAACTTCAAATATGGAAAGTGGCACCTTCACTCAACCAATCACTGATCCAAGCACACAACAATCAACTAATATTGCTGGAGGTCCAAAAAGGAAGACCAATGAGCCTAGAAGATGTGGTGCAAATGCAGGGTCTAAGAGACCAAAGGCAACAAGATATGGTGTGCTATTTGATTCAAGTAGCACTGTGATACAGAGGATAAATATTTCCACTTAATTACACAATAAACATATGTGGCTTACTAGATAATCTCTCACTCACAAACTTTTATCTTTGTGCAGTCTGGAACTACTGACAGAGTAGTACATAATTCTTCTACACTCATAAGTTCTGCCCCTACCAACATTGAACTTAGGTTCAAACCCCATGGGCTAAAGTGGAAGGGTCGAGTTGCTGTTAAACAAAGGCAGCTGCAAGAACAAAGTTACAGAAGGGCAAACTCTGCTACAACCACTCAAGCCACACCAATGACACAATCCACACCAAGAAACCAAGCCACAACAGACATTAATTGAAGTGCTCAGCTGATATTTTGAAGACTAAATCATAGATGTTTTTGTTGACTGCCTGTGGTAGACAATATTTTGTAAAGCTACTTCATTATGTATGTTTTTGTTGACTGCTTATCGTAGACAATATTTTGTAAAGCAACTTCCTTATTTTGGATGTTTTATTAACTGCCTATAACATACCATGATATTAGTAGTTCATGTACTTGTTACCGTAATGGAACCTTTGTCAATATATTCCATGAACAAAATTTTACATCAATACAAAATATGTAACCTAAACCCGGGAAATAAGAAAGTACACTAACAATCATAAACACATAATATAAGAGCTAACATTAGAACAACTACAACCGCAATTATAATAACAACAACTCTGAATATCGACCTTCCTTGTCTTCTCTGACAATGGCATCGATCACTCTTCTTAATAAGACCCGCAAGAAGCATCTTGTAGTGTTCTTCCTCAATCACAGGATCAACCCATCGGAAAAAGCCACAACCTTCACCAATTTCATATCTTCTGCAGCCCATGAACCTTCTTCCGGGATTGGTGGGTGTTCGTGACATTTTAAGATCTGCAGCAAGTCCACAATAATACAAAGGTTCCTCCTTTATTTCTAAAGGAGACACGACAATAGCTTATTTCTTGCCGGAGAAGAAGAAAAAAATCGACTTTCAAAAGAAAAGGAGATAGAAAAAATTTATGGGTAATGAAGAATCCCAGCAAATTTTTTTATTTTGCACTGTTTAAGCTAACAAAGAAAGAAGAAGGCATCGGATTTGGATAGAAATCAGCTTCTATAATGTTCAACAATGGAGAATAAGGTAGAAAGATGAAGATGGCTGTTAAATAGGCCACATTATTACCGTTAGGGCTTTTTAAACTACCTTCACGCCCCTTACAGACGTGTGAATAAGCACTAAAGCCAAATATGACACATGGGATTAACCACGTAGGATAAGCGTTTATTATTCACGGTTTGAATGAGTGTAAGTGTTCAATTGGCAAACTTCTAAATTTGGGGACCGGCATGACAAAGTAGCTCAAGTATAAGTGCCATTTAGGCCATTCTGCCTAATGTTTTTTCTTGGTTAAGTTTTAACATTATGAATTAAAGGTTCATAATGTTAGTATATGATATGTTCTTGATTATCAATTAAAGTAGTATTACTATAAATAATATGGGTTGGGGTGGGGAGAGAAACAAGAAAGACAAAGATAATACTATGATTTGCAACTCTTCACTATTTTTATCCTTTCTGTAGGCAAAAAGAGTATTCAACTTTTTCTTCTATTAATTCTTCTTACTATTAGAAAACGTTTTTTTGTAAATTTTTCGTACGTCAGAACTCAAAATGGTACTCAATCTCAAAGGAGCATTGCGCTCAAGGAAAATACTGGACATGAAGTAGGAAAATTCTGGACACGAAGTTGGGAAATAAATATCATGAACTGTTTTGAAATTAAGATTTGTAGGTCAAAATTTTCAGGACAAAATAAGTATTAGCTAATCCCTAAATAGCAGTCCTAAAAATAGTTATTTGTGCATTTCTACCATCGTCAGTCGGCTATGAAAATACACCCGTCCAGTTGAATACTTAATGTATGACAGGTATATAATAAGTGCAAAATAATTGTAAATTTAGTGAATATTAATATACACACTAGTTATACACTCATTGTGTATAATAATTATACCTTGATAATACACTATATATTGGCTAAAATTCCTAAAAATTAACAACTCGGGTTTTTTTCGTTGTGGCCTTTGTTGGGATGCTGTAGTGTAAATTTCCTATTCTTTTTACCTTTTTACTTTTTGTTTTCCGAAAACATATGTTCTGAATACACTTAAATTTAAAAAGTTGTCACTTATATTGCTTTCATGTTATTTTGAAAATACTAGTTTCTATGACATAATGATTCATTCAATTATTTATGTGAAGCAATACCAAATTTTATTAATGGGATAATTATATATGTTCAGGAAGAAAAGATTGTTTTAAAGAAAATAACATTAAAAAATACAATAATTATTTAAATGTCGATAATCAATGTTACTTTATTATGTTAGCATAATACTTGAGCTCAAAATAATTGAACATCTTCTAAACAAGCAAAAATATTCAATTTAACTAAGGTAGATAATATTATTATGTACGTGTAATTTAAAAATATACAATATGATCATTCACGGTCATTTATGATGTAGTAACTTTTGTTTTGTTCTAATATATATATTTCCACTTCATGTTCATCGAGAAGTACTGTCTGGATCTTTGTCTTTTATATATTTATGTAATTATAAATTGATGTTAAAAATTAATACAGACAAGTTAAAAATATACTACAAATGTACAATAATACAATATTTCTTCGCCCACAAAGGTTAACTGCAAATGTAAACCTTCACCTCTTGCATATTTATACCCTATTAATGATCAACTTCCAGTGTCATTCTCAAAACACATGTAATAACTAAGAAAAAACTGTGAAATAATATCTAATCTAGAGATAAAATAAAGTTTTATTATATATTGTAGTTTATTCATTTAATTTAAAGAAAAAATCAAATATATTTTCATTCAAGAGTTAGAAGATCTAACGATTCTATGATTAAATAAAACTACCAAGATAACCTTTGCAATATTTAGTGATTCAAAATATTTTTTGAAATCGACTAATTATATTGAACCGTATAAAAGCCAACAAACCTACACGTCTTGATAAGTTGACCATAAATTCTGAATTAAATATCTAAACAATCAAGAATAGGTAACACATAAATTATGAACGTTATTTTTCTCAGAAAGATCAAAGTAAATATTTACCACGCATTCAGGCCTCCACATAAAAACAAAAAGTTAATTAGCTCTCGAGAAGTTTGCCGAACTTTCTTATCTTCTTCTACCAAAGCTAAAAACTAATAATTCTTAAAAAGTTTATGGTCTAGCATTTGGAATATGGGCTACTTTCATAGTTCACTTCTCATTTTACTGAATCAGATTAAAATTGGGGGAATTTGCAGTCGTACTCTATATTTGTTTCACCTTTTAACCTGTACCCTATTTTTAAAAATTATTGATTTGGTAGCCAGTTGACAAAAAATTCGTAATAATATGACAATTACACCCCTGATAGTATTAGCATTAGCATGCTACTTTGGAGATGCCCTCATTCGCATTAGCATACTGTAAAACAAGCCCTGATAAACGTAGCAGCATGCTAACGTTTGGAGATGACGTTGTTTTACAGTACCAGGGGTTATTCATTAGCATGTGAGATGGTGTAAAACTTCAGCCAATTACAGTAGCAGCTGAAGTTGTTTTACATTGAAGCTAAAACTTCATGCTAATGCATGCTGAAGTTATTTATCCTGCAGTCAACAGTTTTGTCATGAGTTTTATCCAAAACTTCAGTCTAAACATGCTGAATTTATTTAGTTCATTTGCTAAAACTTCAGAATAAACATGCTGAAGTTATTTAGTTCATTTGCTAAAAGTTCAGTTTAAACATGCTGAAGTTATTTAGTTCATTTGCGAAAACTTCACACTAAACATGCTTAAGTTTTTGTCTTGCAATATGTAATTTTCTAATGAGTTTTTGCTAATGCATGCTGAAGTTATTTAATTTATTTGCTAAAACTTCAGACTAAACATGCTTAAGTTATTTAGTTCATTTGCTAAAACTTCAGACTAAACATGCTGAAGTTATTTAGTTCATTTGCTAAAATTTCAGACTAAACATGCTGAAGTTATTTAGTTCATTTGCGAAAACTTCAGACTAAACATGCTTAAGTTTTTGTCTTGCAATATGTAATTTTCTAATGAGTTTTTGCTAATGCATGCTGAAGTTATTTAGTTCATTTACTAAAATTTCAGACTAAACGTGCTTAAGTTATTTAGTTCATTTGCTAAAACTTCAGACTTATCATGCTTAAGTTATTTAGTTCATTTACTAAAACTTCAGACTAAACATGCTTAAGTTATTTAGTTCATTTGCTAAAACTTCATGCCAAAAACATACTGAAGTGTTGTCCTGCAATCTACATTTTTGTCAATAGTCTTGAAGGGCAAAATTATCTTTTTAAAATGCTTTTAACAAAAAAAATAGGTACGGATGCAAACGGAAAAACAAAACGGGTATAAGTTATAAAGGGGCAACCAAATAGGGCGCCCCATGCAATTTTTACTTAAAATCGTGAGTTTGTTTCAATAAAAAAAGGAAAGGTGTATCAAGTTATCTAAACCAATATGGTCATTCTCTCATATCTAAAAAGTTGAAATATACCAACTACTTGAAACTTGGTAACCCCAACTACTTTGGATTTGCACCTTGCAATTGTATTTGTTTCTTTTAGGTTTTTGGGTTTAATATTTACTTGAACTCCAAAAATTAAGAAGTACGATACAAAAATAACTAAAAATAAGAAGTTAATCCATTCGGATGAGCTTATTTTAAGCGACTTTTAAGCATTAGTCATAAATTATGAATTCTAGCTTTTGGCTTGTTTTTATCATTTTAACTTAAAAACAAGTGATTAAAAGATCATTTTTACTTTAACCAAACACTACAAAATAGCTTAAAAACTATTTTGACTTAAAAATATTTAAAATAAGTCAATCCAAACAGGCTAATAGTGATTGTTTTACTTTTACTTTCTACAACAAAATAGCTCAGGTCGCTATACACGTTAATGCCTACTATACGTAAGAATTGTGTTTACCGTAAGTCTGCTTTTGCTGCTTTTATTTTTTATTCTAGTATACTCAATTCTATAGAAATTTTATCTTTTCCCGATTAAATGTGTACTTTTCATTTTTAAAATTTGGAAGCAAAATATTACTACCAACAAACAAAAATTAATTAAAGAAAACCTCCCCTCACGTTCCCAACGAGCCCTCTCGAAATCATCAATTTTTTCTTCAATATAATAAAACTTATTTTGTGTTGGCTTTTTGTTTCAACTATCTGTTTATTTCTAATTCCAACAAAGAAGATAGTAATGTATTTTAAGTCAAATGTATAGATAACTGACAGCGTATTTCTATATAGTTACAAGCAAAAGGATGTTTTTTAAAATATTTTCCTTAGTATTTTTTTTAGTTTTGCATTATCAATTTTAGTCTCACAAAATGAAACATCTAAACAATTTTAATA